CCTGCATTTTGTAGACACTCACCACTAATTCTCATAATTCTCATGACCAGAAATGTTTGATCTCCAAAATCAGAGTGGTCTTTAGGAGGAACTAACATAATGTCATCTATGTAAGGTGACCACACAATGCCAGGTAAAAAAGAAAACAGAATTAACTCATGAGCTACCATCCCATGGCAGACTGTAAGGCTGTGTTCCTCCCCAGTACCATAAAAGTTTAACCAGTAAAACATTAATACCAAGGTCTTTTTGCATGCCGTGGATCCATGCCCATTCTAACCTTTGAATCCAGTGAGATGAAACTATACCTTGCAGCATAGAAGAGAAAAGCATACAACAAAAGCAGCCAACATGAGTCCATAGGCCTTAGATGTTTTAAGCATCAGCCATGCACTTTTGACCACGCAGCTCTCCATGGACCCTATCTGCAAGCCGCATCTTTAATATGTGTCATTTCTGCTCTGCGAACAGAGAAGCCACTAAGATTTACTTGCCAGTTACTATAATTAGTGTCCTACTCTTTGTCCTCAGTTTATCCCAGGCAGTTGAGCCCCCTTGCATTCTAAGTGGTTCCCCTGGAATGAACTCAAAGTGGCCTTTTTTTGAAGATTCCCAGATCAGTGGAAAGACTGAATTTTCACCTCTACTTCCTTCCTCCAACGTTGGCAATTGTGGGTCAAGGGAAATTCTCTGTGCTTGGTATTATGGCCTTGGGTAGGAGTGATGCAGTATGAAATAACTCTTTCTGTTACCAGTCACAGCTTCTTCCAATTTTGTAAGCCTAGGAATTATCTTTGCTTCTTTCCAAAATTTTGATAAAAGCAAGATAATTTTCTTGGATTTGAATTGTTTCTAGTTGTATTTTTGTGGGGACAGGATGCTGATAGTTCTTCTAATATGTCTTTCCTCAACTATTTTTTTATAGTATGTACATGATAGTACAGTCAACATGAAAGCAGAACCTTAAAGATTTAAATACATAACTTTTTTGTGGTAGTTTTTTGTTTGTTTAACTGCAGCATTTGACACACATAAAGAATACTGCACTTCTGGCCGAGCTCGGTGGCTCACACCTGTTATCTCAGCACTTTGGAAGGCCAAGGCAGGCAGATCATGAGGTCATCACATAGCCTAGGTCAAGCAATCTGGAATTTCTCCCCAGGGATGCCTTATTTCTCAAACTTATTACTTTGATCAGTTACTAGGTGATACATCTTCATAAGTAGAAAGCAAAATCAGACTAAAGAGCAGACCACTCCAGGTTGGTATTTAGTCAAAGACTCATTAAGGATAAATTATATATGAGGCAATCATGGGTAGTGGCAACACAAGGTACATCTCTCCACTTACAATGCACATCTGACTAGTATTTTATACTATGAAAAGAAATGAAAAAGGAATGAAGTCTTATTACTTCTCTGCAGATAACAGACTGCGTACATACAGGAATGAATGTGGCTTTAGGGTTAAATCATTTAAGGTCCTTTTCACAGGCAGGCACTAGTAACTAAAACTGAAAACTAAATAAGTTTATTTTTGAGAAATGCCGGCCGGGCGCGGTGGCTCACGCCTGTAATCTCAGCACTTTGGGAGGCCGAGGCGGGCGGATCATGAGGTCAGGAGATCGAGACCATCCTGGCTAACACGGTGAAACTCCGTCTCTACTAAAAAATACAAAAAACTAGCCGGGCGAGGTGGCTGGCGCCTGTAGTCCCAGCTACTCGGGAGGCTGAGGCAGGAGAATGGCGGGAACCCAGGAGGCGGAGCTTGCAGTGAGCTGAGATCCGGCCACTGCACTCCAGCCTGGGCGGCAGAGCGAGACTCCGTCTCACACACACACAAAAATAAAGAGAAATGCCTCAAGTTTCTATGCTGTTAACAATGTCTTTAGGAAGTCACTAAATGGGACTTAATTGAAAGAAAAAACCTATATTGCTTATACAATAAATAAATGCTATATAAGGAAACTTACCTATTTGAAAACATGGCTATATTAGATGTTTTATTTTCATTCCTAGATTCCAAAAATGCAAACATTAATTGTTCTAAGATAGTACTTTGACAGTGTGTACATTGATGTGTATGGACTAAATCAGAGTGAAGCCAATGTTACAAAAATTTAGCATTTCTAAGATACTTTGAATATCAGGCAATTTGGCACTTTCCCATAAGTAAAATACTTCTCATGTTTTGAAACTATATGAATATGGAAAAAATGGCTTAAAAGCAGCGTCTGTGTATGACATTGTATGGTTAACCCGCTAGGATAACGTTTTCATCTACAGAATTGAATTTTCACTTTTAAGAGGTCTTACATGGAACTAGGAATCCCTGCTTTGAGAAAGCCTGCATATATAACAGTCATTATCTGTTTGGTCTCTATACAGTTTAACTTAGATTTATTCTAGTTAAGCTATAAGTTCAACGTGTAGATTTGTTTTGCTTAAAGAATTTTTCTATCAAAAAGAAAAAAAAAGAAAAAGGAAAAAGAGGAAAAAAAGCACTGAGAGTGTGTTAAGCCATCTAGATGATTTCTTATGTTACTCACAAGTTAAAGCAAATTTTGGGGTCTCCTACCATCTGGTCAACAGTCCTAAATATGTTTAGGGGGATGAAAACAGAATTCAGTTGCAGGCCACCATCTTGTAGATTATAGGGCTGTATGTGCATTCTTGCAGTAACACCTTAAAGGTCTGCTGCTGTCCTTCCCATGTGAAAGCAAACTGATCCTCTGAGCTTGTCGTTAGGCAATATTAAAAAAAGTAATCAGCAAAATCCAGTACTCTAAGTTCTTAGGTAATATTCTAAGTGTTGTAGCAAAGAAATATCTGACAAAGAACATGTATGAAAGGCATCACTTTAAAATTTTTCTGTAATCCATTTTCATTATCCACAAGCCATCTGGCATCTGTATCAGGCCATCTAGGGTTACTAAAGTTGCTTTGAACCAGTCATGCCATCCCCAGCTTTTACTACACCAGAATGCTCTCTTGTATTTCCCTGTGACTGTCTGGCAATCTATATTGCCTTCTAGTCACAATCCTTCAAAGGGAGGAAGTTAGCAGCTTCCTAGTTGCAGCTCCCAGTCTGCAAGGCTTCATAAGTTTTATGATCGCTTCTGTAGGAAATTCCTAGTTCCCCTGGGATCTGCTGTACTTCCTCTATATATTTCCACTGGGGTATCCCTCCTGGCAAGTCCTCCTTATTGGGCTATACTTTCCAACAAGAGCTAATAACCTAATCCCCTGACATGGGCGCCCAAGATGCTACTTAGTCTGTCCCAAGTGTTGTCATAGACAATATGGGTAGTTTTATTACCTTTTCTGCTTCTTATCCAGAAAGTTACATACCATGTACATCCATATCCCATAACTTCGGCGGCCATGCAGAAATGGTCTCCCCAGGTTCCTGCTGAAACTCAGCAGTAATCTCCACCAGTTCAGATGGCATATGCTCCAGCATAGGCAACTGGCCTCTAGCACGTCCCTACTCAATATTCAGCTTATGCTGAATACGCATTGGGCCTCCTCCATTCTATCTTTCTCCATCTCATCTTCCAGTGTCACATCAGTCTCATTATCATCCTCAATTTCCAATGAGTTCTAGGTCTTTCCATCCCAATCTGTATGTGACACGATGGCACACACTTTCACCTTGGGGAGCTTTCTGTCCTGTGTCTTAATGTATATACATACCAACGGTTCTGATTTCTTTTTTTGTTTGTTTGTGTGTGTGTTTGTTTGAGATGGAGCCTTGCTCTGTTGTCCAGGCTGGAGTGCAGTGGTGCCATCTCAGCTCACTGCAGCCTCCACCTTGTCCTGGGTTTAAGCGAATAGCCTCAGCCTCCTGAATAGCCAAGACTATAGGCATGCACCACAACACCTGGCTAATTTTTGTATTTTTAGTAGAGACGGGATTTCAACATGTTGGTCAGGCTGGTCTCAAACTCCTGACGTCGCGATCCACCTGCCTTGGCCTCCCAAAGAGCTGGGATTACAGGCGCGAGCCACCATGCCAGGCCGAAAATTTCTGACTTCTTATCCTGATCTGAAAACTTATTGGCTAGCTTGGTGGCCAGCAGAATAGTGGACATTTACATATTCTTTTCTGATTTCAATTCCTACACCAGTTTTCTTACTTTTGCCTCTGCAGCTAACTACGTATCTGTTTCCCGTGGCACTTCTCATGACAGAGGCCTCCTAGACATATGCGTCGTCATTTTTATCTCTTCCTTACAGCCATGACCCATTTTTAGTTCCTCCAACAGAGTTATGAATCGCGGGGCGATTCATACATATTTTTAGAATATCCTGTAGTCATGTAGATGCCCATGTGCCTCAAACATGGGACTCATTGGTCACTCTATTGACTAGGTCAGCTAACCCAAGATTTTCCCCAGGGATCCTTCATTCCCCAAGCCCATTTCATAAATTGACTACTGATTGGATCACCAGTTTTCCCAACAAAACTTCATGCTAGAACCAAGAATTGCCCTCCATAAATATTTCACTTAGCTGAACACTGAACATGACCAGTGAGACAGAAGAATCAGTGATAAATTTCTGATGTCTAGTTTGGGTAACTCCTTGAGCTGCCATTAATAGAGTGCAAGCTCAGACCAAAGAAGGAGGCAGAGAACTATAGTGGGTAGGTAGTAAAATATTTATTCACAGGGAATTTACACGAAATGCAAACTTGAGCAGCAGGAAGAAGATGCTAGCAGTACACACCTACCTAGTCTTTTGTGCCATTAAACAAGAAAGGAAGAAAGTAAAGTAACTAATGGCATGTTATATAATCTGGTTAATTGCTTAATATATTTTCTCTCTACTTACAGGGATGTTTTAGGTTCTCTACAATTTGTTCAATCTTCCTAATGGGGCTTGACGTTAGGAAGTATTCCTGGCAGCAGCAGTTGTCTTGGTGCCTATGTTCCTTCTGCTCATTGCATCCTACAACTCACTTCATGGTCACATACCCAGAATACATTCTCACTGTATAAACAGTGGGAGGAGGTATAGGAAACTACTAGAGTTTAAGCCACAATATGTCTAGAGATAATTTTACAGAAGATGAAGAGACAGTCAAGAATTTCAATCTGGAGCAGCAGCAGCCCCCCGCGTCGCTGTCGCTGTCGCCTCCACCACCATCTCCGCCACCGCGCGCCACTCGGAGTCCCGCGCCCTACCATGCCCAACATCGCGCTGTTCAGCTGCAGCTCGCATCAGGACCTGTCCCAGCGCGTGGCCGACCGTCTGGGCCTGGAACTGGGCAAGGTGGTCACCGAGAAGTTCAGCAACCAGGAGCCCAGCGTGGAGACTGGTGAAAGTGTGAGAGGGGAAGATGTCTACATCATGCAGAGCCCTGAGGGGAAATTAACGACAACCAGATGGAGCTCCTTATCATGATCAATGCCTGCAAGATCGCGTCATCATCCAGGGTGACTGCCGTGATCCCGTGTTTCCCATATGCCCGACAAGACTAAAAGGACAAGAGTCATGCCCCAATTTCTGCAAAACTTGTGGCCAATATGCTGTCGGTGGCCGGAGCGGATCACATCATCACCATGGACCTGCATGCCTCTCAGATACAGGGATTCTTTGATATTCCTGTGGAAAATTTGTATGCGGAGCCCGCAGTCCTGCAGTGGATTCGGGAAAACACTGCCGAGTGGAAGAACTGTATCATTGTTTCACGTGATGCAGGGGGAGCCAAAAGGGTCAGGTCAATTGCAGACAGGTTGAATGTGGAATTTGCTTTGATCCGCAAAGAGAGGAAGAAGGCGAATGAAGTGGACCGGATGGTCCTGGTGGGCGACATGAAGGGCCGCGTGGCCATCCTCGTGGATGACATGGCTGACACATGCGGCACCGTCTGCCATGCCGCGGACAAGCTGCTGTCAGCTGGAGCCACCAAAGTTTATGCTGTTCTTATCCATGGGATCTTGTCTGGACCAGCTATTTCCAGAATAAATAATGCTGCCTTTGAGGCTGTGGTCCACAAACACAATTCCGCAAGAGGACAAAATGAAACACTGCACCAAGATTCAGGTCACTGACATTTCCATGATCTTGGCCGAAGCAATCCGAAGGGCACACAATGGGGAATCCGTGTCCTACCTGTTAAGCCATGCCCCGCTATAAATCCAGAATGGGAAGTGCCCAGCAAGCCTACTCTGACTTCTGACTTGTTTTTGTTTTCTGGATGTTTAGCTGTAGGTACTCAGCAATGATAGGTTAATCACTGGCAAAAGCATCCGATCTTTGTATGTGCTAAGATTTATTGTTTCCCGTTCTAAAGCTCAAGATCATTTCTTTCCAGTTTTGGGGGAAATGGTGGTAGTTATTTGGTCTTTAAGTGAACTGTCTTAAATGAGAAATGTTTTTGTCATTTTGATTTTTAACGGGTACAGGTGATCTCTTCCTTTGTTCTTTCAATACTTTGAGGTGACAACTTTCAAGTATATAATTTCATTGTGGAAGTCATAGTTTATATATTTCGAGGTTGCCAAAGGTGACTTCAGATTAAAGCCTTCTGTGTAAATATATATGATAATGCCTATGGACATTTGGGTAAAACCCTGTATAGAATTAATTAGCCTTTTACTTTGGAGTGAACCTTGGAAAATGTATAATTATCATACCATGAATTTTGAATTTTTCTTTTTTTTTTTTTTGATAACTCAGTTTCATATAAACCATCTTGGTTATTGTGCTTAATTTGGACCAAATTTTATTTAGCTTAATATGGACACTGACACATTTTGGGGGGTATACGTCAGACATATCAGAGCAGTGTAGTTCTGGATCATTTTTTAAATTACCTCTTCTAAGACACAACTGTCACTTACCTGAAATGCTGCATCCTAAAATTCCAAAATTATATTGAGCAATCGCCAAGGCCTAAAGCCAATTGACCTTTACAGGTAATCATTCCAGCTAACATTAAATTTAAAGCCTAAGAATGTATAGAGCTAGTTTTAAAATAATGATCTCAGATTTTTAGAAAGGATATAGGAACCTGCATTGTCATTCTCTGAATTCAGAACTGATGGTTTCTATCATTATTTAGCCCCACCTTTGTATTTTAATGTCCTTCAGAATACTTTTATGAACCAATGAGACTGGACTTAGCCACACACAATGGAAATTCAGACCTTGACTATTTGGTTTTTCCAGTTCACAAAGGTGATGAAGACTGTCTTGGGAGCAACTTAATCCCAGAATTTGTACATTTCTTGCTGCTCCTGGCGTGGAAACTTAAGTGAGACCACCAAATACATTGGTCCTGTCCAATTCTACTGAATGGGGGTGGACTTGGCACTTACCTGGCCAAAAACAGGAGCTAGAGAAATATGAATATACCAAAGTTGTTTAGCCTCCAACTTAAATTACGTTAGTCAACTTTTAGATATTCATATGATCACTTTTCTTTTTAGATACTACATCAACTAGATTCAGGAAGATATCATTTGCAGTGCTTGTATTGGTTTAAAATATAAGATTTTAAGATCCTCTAACATTGTACTAAAAAATTTCAATAAAATCATTCTGACAGCTAAAAAAAAAAAAAAAGGAATTTCAATCTGGGCTATAAAATAATGAGATCTGTTTTACAAACATTTTCTAAATTAGAGGATGAGTTGGAGAAGGCAGAGACTGAAGTCAGAGAGCTAAGTGTGATTGCTAAAGTCCAGAGAAAGTAAGAAAGAATGTGCACCAAGTAGTGGTACAGAAAAAGAAAGTGGCTAACCAATTGAATATGACCAGTGAAAGAGAAGAATCAATGATAAATTTTTTATCTTTGGGTAACCCTCTGAGCTGTGGTGTCTTAATTAAGATTGGAAATGAAGCAAGAGAGAAGGAAAACATTCATGGCAGGATGCTATTTTCAAAGTTCCCATGGAAGGCCAAGGAAAAATATCTGATGTGTTACAGAATATAGAAGTTCAGATTCATCAAGATGTCTGGGCTACAGATAGAGGCTGAAGAATCAGCAAGTTGAGGTGGTGGTTGAAGATATGGAGAGAATTAATGAATTAGGTGAACCAGGAGAAAATCCACTCAGAGAATTCAACAGAATAATAATAATCAGAGAAATCAGAGAAAAGGCAAAAATGTGATGGGAGAGAAGAATTTAGAAGGTTAGTGTTGTCAAAAGCTACAAAGAGGTCAAGTAAAGGAAGAAATTATGATGAGGAGAAACAAGATGTTGTTGCTCAAATAAAAGCTATGATAAGTGGAAAATTTTTAATTTACAGGTTGTACATATTTGTTTTAACTGTTACAGTAAACCCCTATGTTAGGGCCATCAATTCTCCCACTGTGCAAGTGACAAAAGTGTAGCCCATAAATGTTATGAAGATTATATTGCACAACTATTAGGGGCTTATGAAAAACAATTGATAAGTTGAGTGGTAGAAAGTATATCATTTATTTGTTGTCACTTGGAAGCCAAATGAAAACATTAAAAACAGGCTCTTAGAGCAGATTCAGGATTGTGTGTGAAGGATGACGTCTTCACGGAACAAGAAGGGGAGAATTTAAAAATAAACTTAAGCGATTGATTAGAAGTTAAAGCTGGGCAGGAAAAGAAAATGTAATGAGAGCAGTACAGAAAATGTAATAAGAAAGAAGTTGGGGAATGAAGTTTTGACAAGCATGACTCCGACTCACAGTCAAAGAGACATTTTACATCACAGACAGTTTCTCTTTCTCTCTCTTTCCTTTCCTTCTCCTCCATGTATCTCTCTCTCTCTCTGACAGGAACACACACACATACAGAACTGAACACAAGCGTGATTAACTAATATGTACCACAAAGGAAAATCTAATAATTTGTATTATATTTCTTTTCAGTGATTTATTTTGTTTGGGATTTTTTTTAATTTTAAAAAAGCAGTTAGCAAGATATAACTTACATACTGTATAATTTGACCATTCAAGTGCACAATTCAATGGTTCTAAGCATTTTCAGAGTTGTGCCCCCATCACCACCATCAATTTAAGACCTATTTCATTATCCCCCCACCAAACTGATCCCTTTAGCTTTCATCTCTGCTCCTCCCAGCTGACCACAGAGTCCTGCCAAAACACACAAATTCCATCAAACTTTTTTCTTAACAAGCCCTTGCAATTGCTTCATATCTTCCCCTTAAAAATAGTAAACTAAAAATTATGTTATTTATCCTAACTGACCTGCCAAGCCTCATTTTGTGCTCACTTATCTTCATTGTAGCCCTCAAGAGCAATGTTCTTTCAGTTACTGAGAAACAAGCTTTTTGTGTCCTCAGTTGTGACCATGTTGTCTGCATGAACGCCTTGTTCAATATTAGTTTATCAACCGAATTGATTGATAAGAGCATGGTTCCTTTAAATGATGCAGAAGAGGGGAAGGGAAGTGCTTGATAGAGGAGGGTATGGGCCTGGATAAGGCTCCACCCTCACAGAACGAGGTGAGGACAGGCACTTCTGCCTTCCCGCCTAAATATTGCATTTTCCAAGACCACCCTGGCCTGTCATGCCCCCATCCTGGGCCTATAAATACAGGACACAGTAGCAATATGGAGGCAGAAGGAGCTGGAAATCATGAGAAACACATCAGCAGAAACAGACACCAGTGGCTCTTGCCCAGAGCACACTGGCAGAAGAGCATGCCAACAGGTACTGGCAGGCTGGCAGCCATGGACAAGCAGAACAATGCACAATTTGGCTGGGTCAGTGGGAGAAGATCCCAGGACCCCTACCTGCCTGACAGGAGAAAACCATTTCCTTTCTGTCTCCCCTATCTGCTGAGAGCTACCTCCATGCAATAAAACCTTGCACTCATTCTCCAAGCCCCCATGTGATCCAATTCTTCCAATACACCAAGGCAAGAAACTCCGGGATACAGAAAGCCCTCTGTCATTGCAACAAGGTACAGGGTCTAATTGAGCTGATTACACGCCGCCTGTAGAAGGCAAACTAAAAGAGCACCCTATAACACACACCCACTGGGACTTCAGGAGCTGTAAACATTCACCCCCAAACACTGCCAGCAGGTCAGAGACCCACAGCCTGCCCGTGTGTATGCTCCCCTGGTGGTTTGAGCAGAACAGTGGGTACTGAAGAAGTGAGCCACACCCCCAGCACATGCCCTGCAGTGGGGAAATGGGAGCCTTTCCTGTTTCACTATTTCACAACCCTTTTTTAACTAATATTCCACGTCCGTAGAAAAGCCATTTCTAACCTACTTCCCATCTCAATAAGACTCCCTTATTGTACTTTCTCATATCATCTTGTGTAATTTTCATTGCGGTAAAGTACATATAAAATTTGTTATTGTAAACCATTTTATAATGTATCATTCAGTGGCTTAACTTCAAACTATTGTACAGCCTTCACTAGTCCATCTCCAGAATGTTTTATGTTTCCATATAAAACTACTCATGTATATAGTAACTCCCCATTACTTCTCACCCATCCTAACCTTTGATAACAACATGCTTCTATGTATTTGACTACTCTAGGAACATCATATAAATGGAATCACATAATATGTTTCTTTGCATGCTGGCCTATTTTACAGAGCATAATATCTGAAGGTTTGTCCATGTTGCAGTATGTTTCAGAAGTTTTTTAAAGGCTAACAATGGCCGGGCGTGGTGGCTCAAGCCTGTAATCCCAGCACTTTGGGAGGCCGAGACGGGCGGATCACGAGGTCAGGAGATCGAGACCATCCTGGCTAACACGGTGAAACCCCATCTCTACTAAAAAAATAAATAAATACAAAAAACTAGCCGGGCGAGGTGGCGGGCGCCTGTAGTCCCAGCTACTCGGGAGGCTGAGGCAGGAGAATGGTCTAAACCCAGGAGGCAGAGCTTGCAGTGAGCTGAGATCCGGCCACTGCACCCCAGCCTGGGTGACAGAGCAAGACTCTGTCTCAAAAAAAAAAAAAAAAAAGAAAGGCTAACAATATTCCATTGTATGGATAGACCGTATTTCTTTGACTCATCTATTGATGGGCATTTAGGTTTCCATCTTTTGGCTGTTGTTAATTGTGCTATGAACATACATGCACAAATATCTGTTTAAGCCCCTGATTTCAATGATTTTGTGTGTATGCTTGGAAACAAAATTATTGGATCATATCATAACTTAATGTTTACCATTCTGAGAAACTGTTATACTGTATTCCATTGTATTCATAAATCACATTTTCTTTATATATTTATCTACTGATACTTAGGTTTCTAAATCTTGGTTATTAAGAATAATGCTGCAATGAATATTAAGAGTGAAGATACCTCTGTGATGTACTGGAGTTGTTTCTTTTTGGTATATATCTAGTAGTGGGACTGTTGGACTACACAGTAGTTCAATTTTAGGTTTTTGAGGAACTCCCATGCTGTCTTCCATAATGGCTCTACTAACTTACATTCACACCAACAGTGTGCAAGGGTTGTCTTTTCTTCACATTCTAGTTAGCATTATCAATTTTTCTTTTTAATGATAGGCATTCTAACAGGTAGGGGTTAATATATCATTGTGGTTTTCATTTGTATTTCTCTGATGATTAGTGATATTTAGCAAGTTCTCATTTACCTGTTGGCTAAACTGGCACTGGTTTTTAAAATTTTCTTACTCAGACTGTTCATTGTTACTATACAAAAACATTATTTATACATCTTTTATTTATTTATTTTTTGGAGACAGAGTCTTGCTGTGTCACCGAGGCTGCAGTGCAGTGGCTATATCTTGGCTCATTGCAGCCTCTGCCTCCTGGGCTCAAATGATCCTCTCAGCTCAGACTTCCAGGTATTTGGGACCACAGGCACATATCACCACATCCAACTAATTTTTGTGTTGTTTGTAGAGATGGTATTTTGTCATTTGGCCCAGTATGAAAATTTAGTCCATTTTCATATTGCTATAAAGAACATCCGAGATAGGGTAATTTATTAAGCAAAAAGGTTTAATTGACTCAGTTCCACATGGCTGGGGAGGCCTCAGTAAACTTACAATCATGGCAGAAGGCAAAGGGGAAGCAAGGACCTTTTTCATATGGTGGCAGAAGAGATATATGCAAACTGGAAATGTCAGATACTTATAAAAAGCATCAGATCTTTTGAGAACTCACTATCACAAAAGCAGCATGGGAGAAACCACCCCAATGATCCAATCACCTCCCTCTCTTGATACGTGAGGATTACAAATTGAGATGAAATTTGGGGGGAGACACAAAGCCAAGCCATATCACTTAGGATGGTCTTCAATTGCTGAACTCAAGCCATCCACCCACCTCTGCCTCCCAAAGTGCTGAGATTACAGGCATGAGCCACCACACCCAAAAGAAACTAATTGTGTATACTAACTCTGTATTCTGTAAATTTGATAAATTGTTTAGTTCTGACATTTTAGGGAGTGGAATCTTTATACAGGGATTTCTACCTTAAGATTATGTTGTTTATGAAAAAAGAGTTTTACTTACTTCTTCATTTCTTACTTGAATGACAATTTCCTTTTCTTGACTAATTGCTCTAGCTAGAAATTCCAGTACTCATATTATGTTGAATGGAAGTGACAAAAGCAGAATTCCTTGTCTCATTGTTTATCCTAGAAGAAAAGGTTTCAGTCTTTCATTATTGAGAATAATGTTAGTTATAGGATTTGTATATATGACCTTCATTATGTTGAGACAGTTCTCTTTTGTTCCAAATTTATAGTATGTTTTAGTCCTGAAAGGGTGCTGAATTCTCTAAAATCATTTTTCTGCATCAACTGAAACAATCACAAAGGAATAATTTTTTCTTTTCACTCTACTAATTTTTGGTATATTGAACCATCCTTCTTTTCCAAGAATAAAACCTAGTTGTTTGTGCTGGGATTTAATGTGATAGTAAATGTGATTTGCCAACATTTTCTTGAGGGTTTCTGCAACAATCCTTACCAAAAATATTGGCTTGTAGTTTTCTCATAGTATCTTGGTCTGGACTTAGTATAAGGGTAACATTACCTCATAATGTGAATTTGAAAGTCTTCCTTTTTTAATTTTTGGAAGCATTTCAAAAAGATTGATGTTAATATTATTTTAAATATTTGGTAGAATTTGTCAGTGAAGCGCTTTGTTCCCAAACTTGTGGCCATGTATGCACATATGCATGTGCTTTTGTTTATTGACTCAATCTCCTTACTAATTATAGGTATATTCAGAGTTTCTATTTCTTTAGGAATTATTCTTGGTAACATGTATGTTTCTAGGAATTTGTCCATTTCTTCTGGGTTACCCAATTTGTGTGGATATAATTGTGTATAGCATTGTTTTATAATCTTTTCTTTCTATAAAATTGGTAGTAATGTCCTGTTTTCATTTGAGTTTTCTCTTCTTTTTTCTTAGACAATCCAGATAATGATTTTTCAACTTTTAAAAACTTTTTGAAGAAATATTTCATTTATTTTCTCTGTGGATTTTTTACTCTCTATTTTATTTATCATTGCACTAATTATATTTTTGTTTTTAATGCTTACAAGAACCAACTAACTGATTTCCTGACACTGTAAAGAAGCATGGGAGCAAGATGGCCGAATAGGAACAGCTCCAATCTCCAACTCCCAGCGCGAGCGACACAGAAGACCGGTGATTTCTGCATTTTTAACTGAGGTACTGGGTTCATCTCACTAGGGAGTGCCGGACAATTGGTGCTGGTCAGCTGCTGCAGCCCCACCAGCGAGAGCTGAAGCAGGGCGAGGCATCACCTCACCTGGGAAGCACGAGGGGAAAGGGAATCCCTTTTCCTAGCCAGGGGAACTGAGACACACAACACCTGGAATTTGGGTAACTCCCACTGCGCTTTAAGCAAACAGGCACACCAGGAGATTATATCCCACACCTGGCCGGGAGGGTCCCACGCCCACGGAGCCTCCCTCATTGCTAGCACAGCAGTCTGCGATCTCGTGGCTAGGCACCAGCCAGGCTGGGGGAGGGGCGCCCGCCATTGCTGAGGCTTAAGTAGGTAAACAAAGCCACTGGGAAGCTCGAAGTGGGTGGAGCTCACAGCAGCTCAAGGAAACCTGCCTGTCTCTGTAGACTCCACCTCTGGGGACAGGGCACAGTAAACAACAACAAAAGCAGCAGAAACCTCTGCAGATGCAAACGACTCTGTCTGACAGCTTTGAAGAGAGCAGTGGATCTCCCAACACAGAGACTGAGATCTGAGAAGGGACAGACTGCCTGCTCAAGTGGGTCCCTGCCCCCTGAGTAGCCTAACTGGGAGACATCCCCCACTAAGGGCAGGCTGACACCACACACCTCACAGGCTGGAGTACACCCCAGAGAGGAAGCCTCCAAAGCAAGAATCAGACAGGTACACTCGCTGTTCAGCAATATTCTATCTTCTGCAGCCTCTGCTGCTGACACCCAGGCAAACAGGCTCTGGAGTGGACCTCAAGCAATCTCTAACAGACCTACAGCTGAGGGTCCTGACTGTTAGAAGGAAAACTATCAAACAGGAAGGACACCTACACCAAAACCCCATCAGTACGTCACCATCATCATCAAAGACCAGAAGTAGATAAAACCACAAAGATGGGGAAAAAGCATGGCAGGAAAGCTGGAAATTCAAAAAATAAGAGCGCATCTCCCCCGGCAAAGGAGCGCAGCTCATCGCCAGCAATGGATCAAAGCTTGACGGAGAATGACTTTGACCAGATGAGAGAAGAAGGCTTCAGTCCATCAAACTTCTCAGAGCTAAAGAAGGAATTACGTACCCAGCGCAAAGAAACTAAAAATCTTGAAAAAAAGTGGAAGAATTGATGGCTAGAGTAATTAATGCAGAGAAGGTCATAAACGAAATGAAAGAGATGAAAACCATGACACGAGAAATACGTGACAAATGCACAAGCTTCAGTAACCGACTCGATCAACTGGAAGAGAGAGTATCAGCGATTGAGGATCAAATGAACGAAATGAAGCGAGAAGAGAAACCAAAAGAAAAAAGCAGAAAAAGAAATGAACAAAGCCTGCAAGAAGTATGGGATTATGTAAAAAGACCAAATCTACGTCTGATTGGGGTGCCTGAAAGTGAGGGGGAAAATGGAACCAAGTTGGAAAACACTCTTCAGGATATCATCCAGGAGAACTTCCCCAACCTAGTAGGGCAGGCCAACATTCAAATCCAGGAAATACAGAGAACGCCACAAAGATACTCCTCGAGAAGAGCAACTCCAAGACACATAATTGCCAGATTCACCAAAGTTGAAATGAAGGAAAAAATCTTAAGGGCAGCCAGAGAGAAAGGTCGGGTTACCCACAAAGGGAAGCCCATCAGACTAACAGCAGATCTCTCGGCAGAAACTCTGCAAGCCAGAAGAGAGTGGGGGCCAATATTCAACATTCTTAAAGAAAAGAATTTTAAACCCAGAATTTCATATCCAGCCAAACTAAGTTTCATAAGTGAAGGAGAAATAAAATCCTTTACAGATAAGCAAATGCTTAGAGATTTTGTCACCACTAGGCCTGCCTTACAAGAGACCCTGAAGGAAGCACTAAACGTGGAAAGGAACAACCGGTACCAGCCATTGCAAAAACATGCCAAAATGTAAAGACCATTGAGGCTAGGAAGAAACTGCATCAACTAATAAGCAAAATGACCAGTTAATATCATAATGGCAGGATCAAGTTCACACATAACAATCTTAACCTTAAATGTAAATGGACTAAATGCTCCAATTAAAAGACACAGACTGGCAAACTGGATAAAGAGTCAAGACCCATCAGTCTGCTGTATTCAGGAGACCCATCTCACACGCAGAGACATACATACGCTCAAAATAAAGGGATGGAGGAAGATTTACCAAGCAAATGGAGAACAAAAAAAAGCAGGGGTTGCAATACTAGTCTCTGATAAAACAGACTTTAAACCATCAAAGATCAAAAGAGACAAAGAAGGCCATTATATAATGGTAAAAGGATCAATTCAACAGGAAGAGCTAACTATCCTAAATATATATGCACCCAATACAGGAGCACCCAGATTCATAAAACAAGTCCTTAGAGACTTACAAAGAGACTTAGACTCCCATACAATAATAATGGGAGACTTCAACACTCCACTGTCAACATTAGACAGATCAACGAGACACAAAGTTAACAAGGATATCCAGGAACTGAACTCATCTCTGCAGCAAGCAGACCTAAAAGACATCTATAGAACTCTCCACCCCAAATGAACAGAATATACATTCTTCTCAGCACCACATCGCACTTATTCCAAAATTGACCACATAATTGGAAGTAAAGCACTCCTCAGCAAATGTACAAGAACAGAAATTGTAACAAACTGTCTCTCAGAGCACAGTGCAATCAAACTAGAACTCAGGACTAAGAAACTCAATCAAAACCACTCAACTACATGGAAACTGAACAACCTGCTCCTGAATGACTACTGGGTACATAATGAAATGAAGGCAGAAATAAAGATTTTCTTTGAAACCAATGAGAACAAAGATACAACATACCAGAATCTCTGGGACACATTTAAAGCAGTGTGTAGAGGGAAATTTATAGCACTGAATGCCCACAAGAGAAAGCACGAAAGATCTAAAATTGACACTCTAACATCATAATTAAAAGAACTAGAGAAGCAAGGGCAAACGCATTCAAAAGCTAGCGGAAGGCAAGAAATAACTAAGATCAAAGCAGAACTGAAGGAGATAGAGACACAAAAAACCCTCCAAAAAATCAATGAATCCAGGAGTTGGTTTTTTGAAACGGTCAACAAAATTGACAGACCGCTAGCAAGACTAATAAAGAAGAAAAGAGAGAAGAATCAAATAGACGCAATAAAAAATGATAAAGGGGATATCACCACCGACCCCACAGAAATACAAACTACCATCAGACAATACTATAAACACCTCTACACAAATAAACTAGAAAATCTAGAAGAAATGGATAATTTCCTGGACACTTACACTCTTCCAACACTAAACCAGGAAGAAGTTGAATCCCTGAATAAACCAATAGCAGGCTCTGAAATTGAGGCAATAATTAATAGCCTACCAACCAAAAAAAGTCCAGGACCAGATGGATTCACAGCTGAATTCTACCAGAGGTACAAGGAGGAGCTGGTACCATTCCTTCTGAAACTATTCCAGTCAATAGAAAAAGAGGGAATTCCCCCTAACTCATTTTATGAGGCCAACATCATCCTGATACCAAAGCCTGGCAGAGACACAACAAAAAAAGAGAATTTTAGACCAATATCCCTGATGAACATCGATGCAAAAATCCTCAGTAAAACACTGGCAAACCGGATTCAGCAGCACATCAAAAAGCTTATCCACCATGATCAAGTGGGCTTCAACCCTGGGATGCAAGACTGGTTCAACATTGGCAAATCAATAAACATAATCCAGCATATAAACAGAACCAAAGTCAAGAACCACATGATTATCTCAATAGACGCAGAAAAGGCTTTTGACAAAATTCAACAGCCCTTCGTGCTAAAAATGCTCAATAAATTCGGTATTGATGGAACGTATCTCAAAATAATAAGAGCTATTTATGACAAACCCACAGCCAATATCATACTGAATGGGCAAAAATTGGAAAAATT